GCCAATGAGTCAGCCCAGGCAAGACTAGAGAAGAATGATCCAACTGAGTTCAGCCTAAATTCTTTACCTGCTGTGGTGGCTTGAATGAGAATGCTCATATGTTTGAATACTTAGTCCCCAATTGGTGGGACTGTTTGGGAAGGACTAGGAGATGTGGCCTTGTTGGAGGAGGTTGTTAGCTCTCTCTGCCTGGAGCCTATGGATCAAGATGTGAGCTCTCAGCTTCTGCTTTGGCACCCTGCCTGCCTGTTGCCATGCTCCCTGCCATGATGGTCATGGACTCATCCTCTGAAATTGTAGGCCACCAATAAACTTTTTTTCCCTATAAGTTGTTTTGGTCATGGTGTCTCATGACTGCACTAAGAATCAAGAACAAAAATAATGGCTAAGACACTAAATTTGGGGATGGTTTTCCATGCAGCAGAAGCTGATTTCTAACCAGGCACAGTGGTTAAGAGGCTGACATTGGAAGAGTGAGTTTGAGGTCAGCATGAGCTACTCTCTGAGTTCCAGGACAGACTGGGCTACAGCGTCAATTTCTATCTCAAAAAACAAAACAAACTTGATTAGTGGTTAAGAGTATGTGCTGGTTAGGCTGTGGTGGCACACACCTTTAGTCCCAACACTCAGGAAGCAGAAGCTGATAGATCTCTGAGTTCGAGGTCAGCATGGTCTACAGAGTGAGTTCCAGGACAGCCAGAGCTGTTACACCGAGAAACCCTGTCTCGAGAGGGAAAGATAAAAAGGGTAAAGACTTGGAAGTTTGTGACTGAGCATTTTCAGTGGTGGAAACTCTGAGTGAAGAACAGAGAGAAGAGCAGGCTGGACCTCTAGCAGCATTCGGGAGGAAAACCAGGAAGACACCCAGGAAAGGAGAAAACACCATGGAAAGAAGGTTGCTCTGACCGGATGAAGATCTACCAAAATGGCAATGAATCCACAAAGTGGGCAAGGAGACAAACAAAGGTTTCTAGAAACAAATCTAGTCTCAGAATTAGATGTAAGTGGGAAACAGCAGCAGCAGTCAGGGTTCAAATGAATGATTTGGGGTCCAGCGAGATGACTCGGGAAGTAAAGGTACTTGCTGCCAAGTCTGATAACCTGAGTTTGATCCCTGAAATCCACATGGTGATTCACAACCACCTGTAACTCCAGTTTAGATGATCTGATGCCCTCCTCTGGCTTTCATAGGCAGCAGGAATGCAAGTGGCTTACAGACACAAGCAAAACACCCAACATAGATACCAGTATTTAGGCCTTTCTATATCATTCAGAGTTCTAAACATGAGCATATAGGATGCTTGTAAAATAAGAGCTTCTTGTTAGTTTCTCGTGGTGTTTTCCTATCAGGACTGTAGCATTTATCTCAACTATGCGCTGCATCTGAGGTCTTTTGCTTTCAAGACTGGGTCTGACCTAGGCCTTGAACTCCCTGTATAGCTGTTAGTCTTGAATGTCTACCTCCCAGGTGCTGGTATTACAGGTATAAACCACAGTGCCCAATCTCAGTCAGTGTTATAGATAAAGCCCAGAGAATATTGTACACCAGGCATCTCTGTCACATGAGCCTCATCCCTGGTGCATACAGACTTAGTCATAGCCAAAGCTACATAGCCAAAGCCAGTCTGAGCTCCCCATCCTCCTGTGCCCACCTCCCATGTACTAAGACTATAGGCTTTCCACCATATCCAGTGATGGCCTGGGATTTTTGTTATTTTTTAAGTACATTTTTAATGCCAAAGGTTTTAAATATAAGAGTTAGCCGGGCGTTGGTGGCACACACCTTTAGTCCCAGCACTTGGGAGGCAGAGGCAGGCGGATCTCTGTGAGTTCTAGACCAGCCTGGTCTACAAGAGCTAGTTCCATGACAGCCTCCAAAGCCACAGAGAATCCCTGTCTTGAAAAAACAAAACAAAACAAAAAAGCTACTGTATATGTTTAATAGGACTTAGTCTAAAGTCTCACAAATCTGTGTCTTACTTGAACTTATTAGGTCTGTTGATTACTTTAGTATCTGCAAGCCAGGCATAGTAGTAGTCTCATTATTTTAGGGGGAAACATCATTCTCCATAAGAGGACTTTGGACTTAATGAGTGATTCCAGAACTGGGCAGGGAAATACAAATTGGCTCTTAAAACTGTTGTTGTGCCGGAAGATTAAGATGAGCACCAACTGATGGGGAGCTTAGGGGCCTCACGCTGGTCTAATCCAGGACAACTTGAGCATAATCCTAAAAATTTAATGATGGTAATAATTACAACACGTTGAATAAATGAATTCATCAGTCATAGTGACACATCACATAAAGAAGCAGGGAGCCCTTTAGAGACTGCCTTCTAATACCGACTGGATAAACAATTAGAAAATGGCCATTTCACCATCCCCAGTTTCACAACACATCCAGGGAAGATTATCCAGGGATATTTATAGAAGTAAACATTTCTCACAGTCACCCCACTATGTTATAAAGAGACACAGAAGGCTTCACAACACAAATACGTGACAATGACACTTTAGGTGATCAAATTTATCATCAGTAAAAGTGGTAGAAACAGACCATTTGTGCCTCCTCACAAAATGTCATTGCAAAGTGCATATATTATCAATACATTATTGTTGCCCAAGATGAATCCAGAACTGGCAGAAAATCAAATAAGATATTATTTGGGACAAGTGGGCATTCAAGATGGACTGAAGTATTGCATCAATATTTGTTTTCTTGGCCATGGTGTAGCTCAGTAGTAGGGATCCAATCCTCAGTACCAAGAAAAGTATATGTTTTTGGTATGCATTTTAGGCATTATAATGGCAATGTAGTTATACAGAAGACAACTGAAGTATAAACACTACACTTACGCTAACGGAATAGGTTCTACATAGGAACTAGACAAGTTGCTCCTCTTGTGTGTGCATTTAAACTCTCTTACAACCCTCATTCCTTAAAAAACAGTCAATGAGTGAAAGCGAAACAGTTCAGCCACCCTTCCTAGCCAATCCCACTCCCCTAGCTGGACTGACAGGAAAAACAGGAAACACTGGTTCATAGCATCCACTGAGGCAGGACACAGTTGGTCTCCACAGCCCTGACAGCAATAGTTATAAAATCTCACCAAACTGTGGAGGAACAACATCCTGAGAATTTTTTATTAATACTCCAAAGAGAACAGAAATATTATTCAAGCAAGACCCTGGTGTTGTTTTCCATGTTGATACCCTATTTTGTGGTTCCATTCTCATAATCTAATGCAGACATTTTTCTTTTTGGAAAAGTAAGCAGTCTTCCAACAGACAAATGACGGCTCTCACTGCATGCTCAGCATTTATCGCAGATAGGGATGAGCGGAGGAGCTGGCAACATCTCTTGAATTAAGAACACTATTCTGCTGCTTAGTGAAAATGACTCAAGAAGGAGAAAAAGAGAAAAGGCCAAGGGGACAAGCTGCTGCCTTCCCTTCAGAGGGTTTCCACAAACCCGATTCTTGCTGGCTAATATGGTATAATATGCCCACCTAGCTGCAAGGAAAGTTCAGAATAGAGAATTTTCTTTTCCCTCTTCATTGAGCACAGTGCCACCCTCCATCTGTAACATAAAAACACAGTAAGAGGCTCAGCCTTTGAGAGCACTGGCTGTTCCAGAGGACCCAGGTTCATTTCCAAACACCCTCAGGAGGTTCACAACTGATTGTAACTCTAGTTCTAGAAATCTGACACCCTCATCTGAGAGCACTGCATTGCACATGATACAGAGACAAGACATACATGCAGGCAGAAACCCACAAACCCACACATAAAATAAAAATAAATCTTAAAAAGAAATAGTAAGAACTGGGAAAATAGTTATCATCCAAACCATGGGCTATATTCTTTTCTTTATCTTTTCTGAAGACCATTCCTGAGACCTAATGATTGTTTTCCAATTATAATGTCAAGCTGGTAGCATTTGGAGGGCTGGCTCAGTGATTAAGAGCACTGCTTGTTCTTCCAAAGGTCGTGAGTTCAATTCCCACACTTTTTTTTTTTTTTTTTTTGTGCCACAAGAAAAAAAAAAAAAAAAACACTGTGAACATAAAAAAAAAAAAAAGAAAAAAAAAAAAAAAAAAAAAAAAAAAGAGTACTACTGCTCCTGCAAAGATACAAGTTTGGTGCCCAGTACCCAACATCAGTTGGCTCAAAACACTTGGAACCCCAGGTCTAGGGAAGCTGGCACACTCTGGCCTCCATAGGTACCAGAATTCACATTCACATACCCATACATAGATATACACACAGACATGCAATTAAGAAGCAAATGGTGGTGCACGCCTTTAATCCTGGCACTCTGGAGGCAGAGGCAGGAGGATCTCTGTGAGTTCAAGGCCAGCCTGGTCTACAAAGCAAGTTCCAGGACAAGCTCCAAAGTTACACAAAAAAACCCTGTCTTGAAAAAAAAAAAAAAAAAAAGAAAGAAAGAAAAGAAAATCACATTGCCTAATGGGCACACGTCTTTAATCCTGGCACTCAGAAGGCAGAGGCAGGCAGGTGGATCTCTGAGTTCAAGGCCAGCCTGATCTACAGAGTGAGATTCAGGACAGCCAAAGCTAAACTCTGTCTTCACGAGAGAGAGAGAGAGAGAGAGAGAGAGAGAGAGAGAGAGAGAGAGAGAGGAGGAGGAGGAAGAAGAAGAAGAAGAAGAAGAAGAAGAAGAAGAAGAAGAAGAAGAAGAAGAAGAAGAAGAAAATCAAGTCTTTTCTAAAAGTAAAGATGTGTGCTGAGGATGGTGGTGTACATCTGTAACCCCAGCACTCAGGAGGCTAAAACAGGGGTGCAAATTTGAGGCCAATCTGGACAAATAAGCAGAGCAAACTAAAGAAAGCAACAAAGAGGCTGGGGTGGGGCTTAGTGGCACAGTACAGACTTAGCATGTCTGTGGCCCTGGTATCATCACAGCACTAGGAACAGACTGTAACAGATTTCTACACCAAAGAGGTACTATCTCCATTTCAACAGACAAGAAAACTGGAGACTGGTTCCAATGCCTTTAATGTCTCAAACCACACTCTCTCCATGAAGTTGAGAAAAGGAGAGTGGAAGTAACATTCTAAATATAACAATTTGTGGATTGTTTTACAAGTCCTCGGAAAGTTGGAAATGTTTCTAAACCCATTTGTACACACTCGGAAGTAACTGTAACTATAATTGAAAGCCATTCATCCACTCATTCAAATCTGCATTAAGGCGTCTGCCATATGTACAAGCCTGCATTAACAGCTAATGGCATTACAAATGTGACACTTTTCAAATGATGCCACCTCTAAAGGACATAGCAATCTAATAAGAGTGGCAAGTAATTTAACCTGAACCCCAGCTGAGTGCACACCTTGCTAAGCACAGAGAAGTGGCTGGGAGACGCTGTCACCCGCCTTTGTTATTAGTTCTTTGTAAAGCCGATTGTTAGACAGGCGATGTCTTACCCTGTAGCACAATTAAAGATTAGTTTGAATTTTCAAAAAAAAAATGTGCTTAAAGAGTGAAAGATGACTCAAGATCAAATTAAATCTTAACAGAGACAGTAAGTTTGTAACACAGCATACAAAGGAAGGTACAAGTAAGTTAGCAATAAAGATTAAACTTGAATTACTTTTAGGATTTTCCTTTGGCAAGTTAGGATCACAATTTCAGCATGTTTAGAACAAGGACTTGTATCTTTTAATTAAGATTACCACACAAAATGAGCAGTGGTGGTGCACATCTTTAATCCCAGCTCTCAGGAGAGAGAAGCAGGTGGACCGGTGGTGAGTTCCAGGACAGCCAGGTCTACACAGAGAAACCTTGCCTCAAAAAAACAAAACAAAATAAAACAAAAACAAACAAACAAAAAAAACAAAAACAACCAAACAAGCAAAAAGATTACCATGCACAAATGCCATAATTACTCTAGATGCAATAATACGTAGGATTTTTAGAGTAGTGTAAAGTATTTTAACACTTTAGCTATCAAAAATAATTTGGGGGATTAGGGATATAGCGCAATGGTAGAATTCATGCAAGTATGTGTGAGCCCTGGATTTAATCTCCACCAAAAAAAAAAAAAAAAAAAAAGGTTAAAAAAAATTTTAGCCATACTATAGATAATTTAGCAGTAAATTTTAAGTGGAAAAATTGTAAATTTCCAAGTACCTATTTTTTCTGTATATTACTTATTTTAAAAATGTTTCAGAGAAAAGTTGAAAATACTTATTAAATTAAAAATAGATCTTCAAAAGCTAATAGTTCTCTCCATACCAAACTCTTTTCCCTACCAAATATAAGTGTACATTATCAGAACTAATCCATTTATGACAGCTGTGGTTCTCCAACCCCCAAAACACTTTGAAAATACAAAATAATCATTATCATAAACAGCACACATAGGGTAAAGCTGTACTTTAGCAATCAGATCACCCATTATGTGGATTCAGCCTTTTCCAACATGATGTTCCGGTCCAGCAGCCCTGCATGTGTGAGAGTTGTCCCCACACATGCTCTGGTCACCACAGTGCAGGGCTGCAGTCCTGAGGCTGCACACAGAGAGGCTCAGTGAGAGGAAACCTTGCAATTCAGGTTCATTCTTCAGAATTTTCTTCTCTACCTTCTTTAACCTCTTCAGTGTTTTCCTTGCAAGAATCCTGGCTGTTGGCATCAATAAAATAGTTTTCTTCCTCATTCTCTCCTTCTTCTTCATAAGAGCTAAAGGAAGAAATGTTATTAATCTGTCAATGTACATGCACATGGCTCTGTGTGACCATGCCACCATGTAGGTGGTGCTCCTCCAGGCCACACGCTCCGACAGCTACTAGGAGAACTATGGAAGCACCCGTGGGGAATTAAGTATTCCCTGACAACCAATTTATCTTGAAACTTGACTCCTATTTCTTTCTTTCTTTGGGTTTTGGAGACAGGCTTTCTTTGTGTAGCCCTGGCTGACCTGGAATTGGCTTTGTAGACCAGGCTGGCCTCAAACTCACAGAGATCCACCTGCCTCTGCCTCCCCAGTGCTGAGATTAAAGGTCTGTGCCACTGACTGGTGAGTCCTCATATTTCAATCTAAAGCAGCTCCCCCAACTATAACCATATACATAGTACATACATATATACACACACATATGTGTATACATACATATATATATATATATATATATATATATATATCAGAAATATAAGCTTGATGTAAGAACAAAATGTTTTTTGTTCTTTCTTTCTTTCTTTCTCTCTTTTTTTTTTTTTTTTTTTTTTTTTGGTTTTTCAAGACAGGGTTTCTCTGTGGCTTTGGAGGCTGCCCTGGAACCAGCCCTTGTAGACCAGAATGGTCTCGAACTCACAGAGATCCGCCTGCCTCTGCCTCCCGAGTGTTGGGATTAAAGGCGTGCGCCACCACCACCCGGCAAATGTTTTATCACTGTGTAACATTTATAGTGTGTCAAACATGGGGAAACACTAGAATATTTCACAGGTTCACATGCACTCCCTCAAGTAAATGGTTTTAAAACAACAGGAAAGCGCAGAGCATGCTTCCCTGCAGCTGCTACCTTTCTTTATCCGATGTGCGGCTTCTCAGCTCTTCTCTGGTGAAGCTCTCAGGCGCCTTTCCACCTTGGCCTTTCTCTGAAACAAACTCCTCAGACAGTCCTAGAGCTTCTAGAGTGTTAGAATAGCGCTTTTCTGCTGCCATCCTTGCATTTCTCTATAGGAGACACAAACCTTTTCAGATGAGCGCAAACACTGCAAATTTCTATTAAGATGTATGGATTTAAAGGCACCACTGAAAACTATGATGACAGACTCAGCGACTGAAATATGCTTCTTCTATGACTGACATGTTTAGGCATGGACCAGGAGAGGACAGGTACAAGAATGCTCAAGGCAGTATTGTCTGTAATAACTGAGCATTGTGAGCATCCCAAAGCCTGGCAACATTTGGAGGGGTGAGTAAGCTATACTACAGTCACAAATAGAAAAATGAATAAACCAGTCAGTCAGCTGCCACAACATGGCATGGCAGATAACTTACAAATGTGACACTGAGCAAAAGGAACCCTCGGAAGAACACAAAAGAATGTATTTAACATACTAGATATATTTACAGAAACAGGAAAAACTGAAAACAAAGCAACGCTGATCCCAGGTTAGAGGTGATGACCCCTAGAGGAGGTGGCTGCATAAAGATACCTCCAGAAAAGATCAATAAGGAAAGAGAGTTATGGGCCACACTCGATGTGGTCCCAGGATGCAGGAGGCATAGGCTGGAAGAGGCTTAACACAATTTCAAGGCTAGCCTGGCCTACACAATGAGTTCCAGACCAGCCAGCCAGGATATACAGCAAGACCTATCTAAAAAGCAAGCAAACAAAGGTCACATGTCTGCTTCAGTTTGGAATGTAGGACAGCATGGTAGTGGCTGTGTGGCTCTTTTATGCATCCAGTGTAGTTCTGTGTTTATGTGCCACGATTTCAGACCATCAGATATAAAATCATCAATACTGCTATCTTTACTGGATGGAAGAAAAAAAGGGATAGTTAAAGTTGAGTTCAAATATCTTGAATGTCACTTCTTGGAGGTCCACAGGAATTTCAATGATCCTTCCACAGTTGCAGCTAATTGAGGGCTAGGATGCAGTTCATTGGTAGAGAAGCATTTATATAGACATGCTTGGGGCTCTAGGTTAATTCCCTAGTTCCAAGAAAAACCAAACCAATGAAAAAAAAAACCCAAACCTAAAAAAACAAAAGCCTTCAATCCTAGCGCAAATGGCCTGGCCACCAAGCCAGGGAGGGCCACACAGTAAGATCCTGTCTGGAAAAGCAAGGCACAGTTGTCACAAGTTGAAAGTCAGTCCTGAGCCCATAGACTTCAAGCAGCTAGCTACTTGGTGACAAGGTGCTCAGTGTTGGTTTGAGCCCAGTCTTAGCTCCTCTGAGCAGATCTTACAGGACATCTGTGGCCAGGAATTCCCTTTGCACCTGCACCTAAAGCAAGGTTCTTGAGGAACGGACCAGTTCTGGGGAACAAAAGCACCACATATTCGGAATGTTACAGTGCCCATCAACGCCCAAGAAAACAGGAAACCACAGTTGCTCAATCTAGAATTCTGTAGGAGAAGCCAAAATAGCAAAGATCAATTGTGAGGGATATTATCATGCCTTCCAAATACTCTGGGAGACTGAAAAAGACACATAGTTTCAAACTTTTGTTAATTTCACCACTGTCAGTGACAATAGTTTTTAAACAGTGCAAGTGTGACAGAGTCTCACTGTGTAGTACTGGCTTTTCTGGTCCTATGTAGACCAGGCTAGCTTCAAACTCAGAGATTGATCTGCCTCAGTGCCCACCCCCCAAGTGCTAGGATTAAAGGAATGTACCACGGTATTTGACTAACCAAATCCACAAGCTCTAGGTTCACTGAAAACCTTTGTCTCAAAATTCACCTCTGGTGTACACATACGAACACTCGCACGCACGCACAAGTGTAAATGTGCCCAGAGGCTGTAGAACACCAACAAGTCTTGGTGAACTAAAAACCAAGCGAGAAATGAGAACTGTGCTCCAGAGACTACGGAAGTGAACAAAGCAAGCTGAAACAACTCCGATGCACTGAGGACACCATGGGTTAGGCATGGGTACAGTGCTAGTCTAATCCACAGGAAGTCTGGGATCTAATCCCAACACCATGTAAGCCAGGAGCGGTAACACAATCTGCAATCTCAGCACCCAGAAGGCGGCAGTGGATCAGAAGTCCAAGGTTGTCCTTGGCTTCATAGTGAGTATGAGGCCAGTCTCGGCTACATGAGACCTGCCTCAAAATAAGACTGACTTTCAACTTGGGGCAACTCTACCTTATTTTTTTTTAAGACAAGATCTTGCTATAAATACCACCCCCCCCCCAAAGTAAAGATAACAGTATTGATGATTTTATCTTTGATGGTCTGATACCATGGCATATAAAGACTTAGAACTATCTGGATGGTGGTGGCGCATGCCTTTGACCTCAGCACTAGGGAGGCAGAGACATTTGGATCTCTGTGAGTTTGAGACCAGCCTGGTCTACAGAGTGAGTTCCAGGACAGCCAGAGCTACACAGAGAAACCCTGTCTTGCAAAATCAAAGCCAGAGAGGGTGGTATCTATCAGTCTGGCAGGACCAAAGGCAAAGGACATAACATGGAGAGTGAAAGCTTAGGAGGGTGAAGTGGGAGACAGGCTAAGGCTGCTAACAGGAGGGCTGGGACGACGTGGGGCGTGGGAGGGAGAGGGGTTGGTTTGATTTGCCCTGCTGTCATGAAGCTCTGAGTTTGATCCCTGGCGCCGCATAAAATCAGTTGTAATGGCACACACCCGTAAATATAGCACTTGGGAGGTAGAGGCAGGAGGAAGAAGTTCAAGTTCACCTTGGCTTTGTAGGAGTTTGAGGCCTATGATGCTTAGGACCACATCTCCCAATTAAAGGCTAGCAAGAAGCACAGGGAACTCCGCCACTCTGCTGTGAGCTGTGAACATCCTCTAGGAAGAAGGGCTAAGGGAAGCAGATCAACTCAGGTTCTGACCCTAGTTTGCTATTTACTAACTACAAACCTGACTAGTTCCCTTCTTTGGACTTGAATTATATGATTACCTCCCCTTCCAGGCAATCTTGGGGAAGTTAACTGAGACCTTCCCTGAAAATGAGAATGAATGGAACCCACGGGAACAGACGCCAGCACAGGTGTCAAGGAGTACTAACTGGTGCCCATTTTGACAGAATGGGAAAACAGAAAGGTCTGACTTTTTGGCTTTTAATGCTTTTAGACCTGGAGAGATGGCTCAGTGGCTAAGAGCACTTATTCTTACAGAGGGCCTAGGTTCACTTCCCAGCAGTCATGGCGGCTCACAACTCCAGTTCCAGGGGATCCAATGCCCTTTGGTCTCTGCAGGAACAGCAAGCACATGGAGCCCAGGCATGCATGCAGACAAAACACTCACAGCCACAAAGTAAAATAATTTAAATAAACACCAAATTTAAAATGTTTTTAAGAGACAGGGTCTCACTAAGTTGCAGACACTGGTCTCAAACCAAATGTTTTAATTCATCAGCGACCTCTCAACCATATCCCGAAGACTCACAAGAATAGCAGAACCAGCCTGATTAAAAAGAACAGGCACTAGCTGGGCGTGGTAGGGCACGCCTTTATTCCCAATGGGAAACAGAGGCAGATGGATCTCTGTGAACTCGAGACCAGCCTGGTCTACAGAGTAAGAACCAGGACAGCAAGGGCTACACAGAGAAACCCTGTCTCAACACAAACAAACAAACAAACAAAAACCAAAAACAACAACAACAACAACAACAAAAAAGACACTAACAGCAGGCTGTGGCAGGAATATCTTGAGGCACACTGGGTTAATGGAATGTTCTTTATTGAGCTACAAGCCTCATCAGATCTTAAGCAAAATTACTTCCTTAGTGGATTGAATGAAGCTGCCCCAGAAACAGCGTCTCAGCAATACTAGGGCACAGGAGAAAGATGAGGCTCAAGCTTGGAAACTAGAGACCCTGAGAAACAGAAAGCTGGGGATGGCTCTACATTCCAACAAACACAACCTGGGCGACTCTTTCGAACAGCATTGGCCTCTGCTGCAGTTTTTCATTTCGCTCTTGCAGTTCTCGCCGATATTCTTTCATCCTTGCCTTTTCACTCTTTCTAGAATCAGATAAAGGTAATGGCACTTTAAAAAGTCAGCTACGGAAGCTGCATTAGGACATTTACTTCAGAAGACAAATCAGAAATTCAGAGCGCACAGTTCAGTTTGGTTCCTTTTCTAGACCGTAAGATTCTTCTAAGTGGAGAATAAAAGTCCTAGGTTCTGAAAGCACACATTGTACTGCCCTGGGGACAGTCTGCACATTTTGATTTCAAAAGTCTTCAAGGTGTAAGGTATTTAAAAAAAAAAAAAAAAACCCGAAACGTGTCTTATAAGTACACAAAAACTAAGAAAATCTGGTCCAAATCAGGTATGTTAAAAAAAATTCTTTCAAAACCAAGACCCTGCTCTCCCCCTCACCTCCAATAAGGTCACCTAAAGGTCAGTGGCAACACTGCAAGAACCTCACTGTACTTATTCTTTGGACCAGATCCCACAATGAAGTAAACTGCACTGTTTTTCTCTAGGTGAGATATACTAAAAGCAATCAAGGCAAGAGTCTCATGGGTATAGAAAATAATACTTTACAATAGTTATGCTTACTCATTGAAAGTTACTAATGTCTATAGGTAAACTCTGTATTCATCAAACTAGGCTCTGTCAGTGGGCTAATGCTATACTGTAAAGCAAATACATGTATTTGGTTCTTATAAATCAGATGAAAGGTTAATAAATCATATTACTTACCCAACTTTGGAGGAGAGATTTTCTTGCTTAAAAATGATCATTTGTAGGTGTTTGCAACACTGGTTTTCAACTCTGCTCTAGAGAATTCTAGTATTCTGCGGCTGCTGTTAGTTGTCACAGGGAAATAGTCACAAGATACAGTATGTTCCCAGTTCTACAGTTGGTTGTAGAGTGGGCTTCATTGGCATATATGAGGTCCTGGGTTTGATCCACATATCCCCAGCACCATATACATGTGTATATATGTATGTATATATGCCAAACATTTAAGTAATATATAAATAAGAACACACACATATAAATAAAAAGGTTTTATGTTGGTATTTAAAGCATAGCTATTAACTAAGGCCATAACAGAAAATGTTACTGTTCCACAGTCTTGTGACTTTTGCTCTGGAGGCGAGTGTATACACCGATTCTCATCAAATGTGTATGTGCACATATGTGTATGAAAAGTTGAGTAAAAACAAAAATTATTTAAATACATAAATACATAAAGCTGCCACACCATTTTCATATCTAGGTATTCACTGGCTAAAAAGGAAGGAAGGAAAAGCAAGGAAAGGGAAGGGAAGGGAAGGGGAGAGGAGAGGAGGGGAAGAGAGGGGAGGGGAGGGGAGGGAAGAGAAGAGGCTGAGTTTGGAAGTCAACGTTTTCGTTCAGGACTCTCCCGAGATACCTGAGCTGGTTTACTCTGGATTTAGACATCTGGGCTAAGCCCTGATGTGAGTCATAAGCCTTAACCCGGGTTGCCACGAGTTTCTGCAATTCTTTCATTCTTTGCTTCTGTTTAGTTAGGATCCGATTTCTCTCTTCTTCCAACATTTTCTTTTCCTCAAGTGATTTCCTGAGGGCAACAAACTAAGGCTTAATTCCCTTTAAGCCAAGGAGAAAGTTGTCCAGCAAAGGTTTAACCTGGGATAACTCAGAGGCTGAGAAAAAAAGGCAACCTTTTGACCAAAATCTGACTCATGTCATTGGAAATCCAAGAGACACTGATGGTATAAACTTGTCTATGCCCAGGAAACACAGAAATCACATTCGTTTCTTAGGAGAGCATTCCTAGCAAATGATATCCTACCGTATTGTACAATACCTTACAGAGAAGTCAGCAATTTCAGATTTACCAAGCTAAAACCCCCCAGGGCTGTATATGCCAGCACAGTGACCACATGTCAGACAGCGCACACCCAGGGCTTACCTGATGGCTTGTTCCCGCCCTCGGGAAGACAGGGTAGGCATCGGAGGGCTGCACCGGCAAGGCCTGGGCTTTGTGCATGCACTTCTTACTGGTGACTTAAGCCTTGGAGATGGATGAGGCCAGAGTATTTCTTTTAGATTTTCTTCATCTGCTCTAAGGTCTGCCAAGACCTTCTGTCTTTTAGCAGAGTCACAAGAGTATTCATGAAGACCACACTGTTTACAAAGAGTTGAGTGTTTCTGAAAACTGGGTTCTGAGGAGGACTCCTTCCATTGTTTCTCAGCAAAATTTCCATCATCAGGGCACAGGCACTTGCACTTGTGTCTACCCCTTGGCTTTCCAGGACTTCGGGGGACCCTGAAATGTCCCTGGCCCTGCCTACAAGGCCAGGACGAATTCTGCAGCAGTTCTCGGGCCTTCAGCTGCGTCCTGATGTCCCTATAGAACTCGTCATCTTTTGATTTGTCATTTGCAGCTGACCTGTAAATTGAACGAGGCACAGGTCTGGCTTTAAACCACTTCGTCTTCCTTTTAGACTTAAAAAGGTCTCTCAGCTGCTTTTCACGGATTGCTTGCTTCTCTTCCTCCCTGGCAATGAACTTAAATGGCTTCTGGGAGGCCAGGAGCGCGGCTTTGCTCTTCTCCTTGGAGGTCCTCCTCCGCTCTTCATTCTGCCTGACCATATCCTCATAAAATGGTTGCAGTATGCAGGAGGGGGCAGGATTGGCTCGGAATTTCTTCTTACACTCCACATCGTCATCGTCATCCCTCTTGAGCAGTTTCTGTCGACTCTGGGGATCTGGCCTTGCTTTCTGGGCAGCCTCTCTCTTCTTCTGCTCTCTAACTGTCATCTGAAAGGGCACAGGCACCGTCACTCTGGGCACCCAGGGTTTTTGTTTCTTCCTTGTTTTCTTAGATGTTTGGACGTCAGAGTCATACTGCATATAATCTTCTACAGAAAAGTCAGTCCACATGTTGTTGATGAGCTCCTTGGCGTAGGCTGTCATTCTGCTTTCCCCGGGGGCCTCTCTCTCCAGGCTGGGCAGCTCCTCGTCAGAAGTAGTGGACAGGGAGGGCGACTGGCCTATGTCAGGCTCTGAATACGATGTCACTAAGCCAGGGTGAGGGCAGTTCTGTTCCGATACAGAACTAAGGAAGAAGAAGAAGAAGAAGAAGAAGAAGAAGAAGAAGAAGAAGAAGAAGAAGAAGAAGAAGAAAAATTAGGGCACACTTTCAATTTTATACAGCCAAATAGTAGGATTAAAGTAATTACAGATTTTCTAAGATGAACGGATAACCAGCTGTATAAGAGAGTAGCTGTATAAGGATCATGAAAATTATCGTTTGTATTTAGAATAGAGCTGAGAGAGGATATGACTTATCTAAGCAACTCACTTTCCAGAGAAGGGAGCTGAGGCGCCAGCTGCTCCCCATGCCTCACTTCTACTTATCCCAGAGTCACCATCTTGAATGTGTCTGACCACGTCACTCCTACCTGAAGCATTCCTCTTTGCTCTAAGTCTGAACTGACAATCAGTCAGGACTAGCCTGCTGCTCCCCCCTTCCCTCCCCTAGCCACCGTTCTTAGAGTCCTTTCCCACCGTGCCTGGTACACACAGTTGCTTCTGTCTCGAAGACTACTCCTTGCTTCCTATATCTGCTATTCCTATTCCTCTACCAAGTTTGAACTGAGTTGGGCATGCAAGTGCATGCTAATGGAGGCCAAGACTGGAAGGATATGGAGTTCAAGACCAGCCTCAGTGAGAGCCTGTTGAACATGCATTCAGGGTTTGATCTCCAGCATGGTTTGGAAACAAAATTGAACTTATGGATGACATTCTTGTTGAAAAATGCTTTCCTGCCTCCCACCAGCAACTGAGCATGACCAGCTGCTCCTGTTTCTGAGGCACTGGAGTGTCATGTTGTACCACCACCTCTCTGGGTGTCAGATCTTAGATAGGCCTGGCACACAGGAGATGCACAGATAGCTAACCAACCGGATTAGGTAAATGATCAGCTTACAGTTTCAAAAAAAAGCAAGTTCACAGGAGAGATGAACCTTGAAACTAGATTTAATAAAAAAAAAAAAAAAAAAAAAAAAGGAACTAAAAACTTGTATCTTAAAACTTGTAGCTCATGTTAACCTATTCTTAAAATTAAACTTTAATTTTCATTAAGAAGGCCCACCTGGTTGGGCATGGTGGTGGATGCCTTTATTCCCAGCATTCAGGAGGCAGAGGTAGACGAATTTCTGTGAGTTTGAGGCCAGCCTGGTCTACAGAGCAAGTTCCAGGACAGCCAGGGCTACACGGAGAGACTTGATCTTAAACAACAAAAGGCCCAGCTCAAACAAGCATGGCTTTGTACAACAGAAGTTCTAGCATCTGGGAGGTGGAGGTGGGGGTGGGGGGTAGGTAGGAGTTCAAGGCTATCCTTGGTCACACTGCAAGTTTGAGGCCAATCTGGGCTCTATGAGACTCTGTCTCAAAAGGAGAGAGAAAAAAATGGGCATGCTGGCTCATGCTTGTAACCTCAGTGCTTGTGAAGCTGAGGCAGGAGGACTGCTGAAAGTTGAGGTCATAAGGGAATATGGTAAGTTCTAAGACCCATCCTGGACTATATATAGTAAAGATCATGTTTCAAAAATAAAAAAAAGAGTAAATAAGCAAAGCAGCCCAGACTAAATATTTTGATACATATCTGTAAGCATAAGTAAAGCGAGAAAATACAGGTGAAGGAGCAGGAGAGATGGCTCAGCAGTTAAGAGCACTGGCTGCTCTTCTAGAGGACCTGGGTTCAATTCCCAGCACCCACATGACAGCTCACAAGTCTCCATGGGCACCAGGCACACATGTGGTGCAGACAAACATGCAGGAAAAACACATTAAATTACAATAAAAACAAACAAGCAAACAGATGGCCACTAAATGACCCTCAAAGCAAGAGGTAACTTAATAAACTGATAAGCCATTAAACATTTTGAATAAAATCCCACCTCTATATATCATTAATACTAGGAAGGACCTAGTCTGTCTATCTCCTGTGTGCCAGGCCTGCCTGAGATCTGACACCCAAAGACATGACACTCCAGCGTCTCAGAAACAGGAGGTCATGCTCAGTTTTTGGTGGGAGGCAGGAAAGCATTTTCAGCAAGAGTGTCATCCTTAAGTTCAATTTTGTTTCCAAACCATGCTGGAGATCAAACCCCAAATGTATGTTAGACAGGCTCTCACTGTTGCTGAGGACCTGATATTTAGAAGCAAATACTCCAGGATATTTTGTTTCATACTTAGTTTAAATATTTATCTTAGGTCAGTCCTCAGATGACACCGAGCACAAACTTACCTAGAGGAGACACTAGAATAATCTTCCCTGGTGATCACTGGCCAGACGTCTTTTATATTTAGCTTGTCCTGGTACATTTTCTCTAATTTTGCCATGGTTTCTGCATGGGCGGCCTTTAGCTCTCTTAGTTTCCTGAAATACTCTTCATTAGAGTGGTAAACATCAGAAAAGTCCACAATGTCCTGGATTGTCACATCTTCTTTTTCCCTGGGAAAGCTGTTACCACTAGCCTGATGGGAGGAGAAATCCATTATATGCTATTTTAAATGAAATAAACAATTGATGCTGATCCAAACGCTGGTTCTTACATATGTCCCACTCTGTAGCCCAGGCAGGCTGCCTCTGCCTTCTGCTCCCTGGGATTAAAGGTGTGTTCCACCAAGCCTGGCTTCAATCCATTTTATAATGGTTAGGTACCTAGAAAACTGACAGTAAATATTCAAGTTGGGACACTTAACACTGCAGAAGACAGAATGGGACACTGCTACGCAGATTTCAACCAGAAGCCTCTTCTGAGTTGTGCATCTTTGCTGACAAGAGAGAAGCTACTCTCCTGTACCTACAGCCAGCTCTTGAGGGGTCCCTGCCTCGGGGCTCCAAGGGTGTGCAGTGGAGAGAGGGCAGGCCCAGGGACAGTTCTCAGTTGCTCTTCCAAGGACCCAGGCTGGGATGACCTTGGAGGGGAGAAGGACACGGGGCAAAGAGAGTTTCAGAAGGGTCACTGCTGTGGGCAGCAAGCAAAGTAACACCTGTGTATGGCAGACAGTTTGGGCAGGAGAAGTGAGCGTGGAGAAATACTGCATGTACACTTGCATGCAGGAGACACTCCACATACAAGTCAGGACTGGAGGGTTCTGACTGGACTTTCTCTCATCCCTTTTACCCATCGTTCTGTTCTTTTTAAAGAGATAAAAACCTCACTTTCTAGAGCTACAGAAGCAGCTTAGTTGGTCAAGTGCTTGCCATGCAAGCATAAGAAGCCATAAAAAAGCCAGGCGTGGTGACACAAGTTTGTGACCCCAGCATTGGGGAGATGAGACAGGACCTGAAGCTTCATCAGTGATCTCTAGATTCCAGTGAGAAACCCTTCCTCAAATAATGATATGATTTCATAAAATAAGTCTGTTGAGCCTTTCCAATGGGAAAATTCAGAAGAGTCCATTACAAATCATACCTTGGGCTGCAGAAGGGCCTTGGCTGTAAGGTGTCTGCTGAGCATGTACCAGACTGTGGGGTTATTCCCAACACAACGAGAAAGGAGGGGATGGATGGATGGATGGATGGATGGATGGATGGATGGATGGATGGATGGACAGAGGGCCATATTTTTAAGATTATGTGCATACCTGTGTGCATGGGTGAGTACAGGTGCCCATGGAGCTGGGGGTTCAATCCCCTGAAGCTGGAGTTACAAGTGGTTGTGAGTTGCCTGGTGTGGGTGCAGGGAACCAAATCCCAGTCCCTACAAGAGCACCAAGTGCTTTAACCACTGAGCCATCTATCTAGCCTCAGATTTTTGTTGCTATTTTTTTTAAAGTTTTTGAGAGGCTGGTGTTGTCCCACTTGGAATAAATTCTAGAAAACAAATGAAATGTAGAAACTTGTTATCAACAACTCATAGGGCCAAAGACCTATTTAATGTATGTCACATGAGTTGCTTAGGAGAATTTGTTGCTTTTGCAGAGGACCCAGGTTCAGGTCCCAGGTTCATAAACGTGGTGACTCACAATTCTTAACTCCCGTTCTAGGGATATAGCGCCCTCTTCTGGCTTCCACAGGCACTGCGCACACATGGTAATCACTTAGACCTGCACAGACAACTGCCTCACGTAAATAAAAATTGATGGGGGCGGGGGCTAGAGAGATGGCTCAGAGGTTAAGAGCGCCAGCTGCTCTTCCAGAGGTCCTGAGTTCAATTCCCAGCAACCACATGGTGGCTCACAACCATCCATTATGAGATCTGGTACCCTCTTCTGGTGTGCAGATACACATGAAAGCAGAATGTTGTATACAAAATAAATAAATAAATAAATAGATAAATAAATAAATAAAAATCTTAAAAAAATGATGGGGGCAGGGGGGATGAGCAGAGTTCCCCCAAGGCCCTGCATTTGCCCCCTTTCTCAATGCTCGCACTCCAGAAGTCTGCACAGCATACTCGCCCACTCTCCACTCAAACACCACCTCCAGAGAGGTTTCGTGGACTATCCCCTTTGGAATGGCCACTCTCCCAACTCACTGAGTCCTCTTCTCCACTTCATTTCTCCAGAAGTGTTTACTCACACCATCTGCCCCGTCCTGGCTGATCTGTATACCCGGGCCTGCTCCAGCTGGAGAAGGGTTTGTACAAAGGCAAGAGTTTATTTGCAGGGTTCTTTCTTGTTCTCAGCTTCTAGGAAGGAGCCTGACCAAGAACAGATGTCCAGTACATATTTGTGGAAAGAAAGAATGTACAGTTAAAGAATATGTAAGCTTCCACCACAGGAAAACAGCAGTGTTTCCTTTCGCAAGACTGAGCTGTGTCTGGAAGGGCAGGTTGCTGAAGGACCACCTGATCTTACTGAATACAAAGGAAAAGGCCCATGATCCTAACATAAATGAAAACCTAAAACTCAGGCTGTAAAACTGCCAGTGTGTTATAAACATATGCCCTCTAGGAGAACAGTGGGCAGTTTTCAGACAGAACACCCGTGGCTCATTCTCTCCCCCACAGACTCTCTAACAGGTCCTATGTCATCTACACTGAAGACAGCAGGGGACTGTGGCCTGGAAGAACTGTGTGAAAGGGAGACACAGCAGGGTGGAAGCAGAGACAGGCCTGAGGAGCTGCACACACACACTGAGGTCTGCATGTGGCTACTCACTGTTAATGCAAGCAAAACTCAAATAAACTCTCCTGGTTGTTTCACTTTTTTTTTTTTTTTTTTTGGTTTTTCGAGACAGGGTTTATCTGTGTAGCTTTGGAGCCTATCCTGGCGCTCGCTCTGGAGACCAGGCTGGCCTCAAACTCACAGAGATCCGCCTGCCTCTGCCTCCCAAATGCTGGGATTAAAGGCAGGCGCCACCAACGCCCGGCTGGTTGTTTCACTTTTAACCTAGAACAGATGAATGGCTGCGAAATAACTCCTGATTCTAGTTTTACCTTCGCCCTTTGCCCCAGGATCATGTAGTGTGCCGGACACCACATGCAACACTCGGTTATCTTCTCCCCTCTTGATAGTTAAGCTTTTCATGTTGTAAGCACCACTAGGTAAGGCACTAATCCTGAGATTGGCTTGACCCACTTACGGATGAACCAACCCTCTCTGAGGTGGTACTAGTGTCAGCACCATGAGGAATTATTTGTGTTGTGGTCTACAGAGTTTATCTGAAGTTCTGGAATTCTTCCTAAACTTTTCTTCTTTTCAGTGCTGAGCCTGGTAGCACTCAGAAGGCAGAAGGACCCTGAGTTCAAGGTCAGTTTGAGCTACATAGTGACTCGAGACTGGCCTGTTCTACATGAGGTCCTTTGGACCCAGGCACGGAGGCACATGACTTTAATCTGGGCGGTAAGTCTCTTTGAAGCCCAGCCTGTCTCCATGAGTTCTAGGCCAGCCAGGGCTACACAGTGAGAGACTGACTCCAAAAGAGAAGAAAAGAGGGGAGAGAAGGAGGAAGAAAGGAGGAGGAAGGAGTTTTACAACAATGTTGAGTGAGATATGCATACCTCAGCCTCCAGAAGTACTGAGATTATAGCTGTGAGCCATTGCAGCCAGCTAATGTTTGAGATTTATTTGTTTGTTTGTTTATAGTTTGGGACAAGGTCTTGCAATGTTGCCTGGGCTGGGCTGGAACTTTCCATGTAGTCTGGGCTGGTCTCAAACTCACAGTTCTTCTGACCCAGTTTTCTAAATGCGCTAACATTATATATTTGGAAAGGAGACTATATTCAGTGGTTATCACCATAACTGACATGTAGCTTTCCAAACAATAGACAACATTTTATGAATGCTAATACCAAATTATAGACACCAAGCAATGTCTAGTGATACCTGGCCTGCTCGACACCTTGTGTTCCTTTGGAAAATGGCTCCCATTACCCCAGCAACTATGCTTGCATTTCCCTTGCTCCTCTGGCTGCTCCCAGGCGTACCCACAAATTGCTCTTATAACCCTTTCTTTAGGAAAACAGAAACCACCAGAGGAACAGTCACTCATCTTCCCACCTACTCCCCTCTGGAATACACTGTTCTCTATTCTTCACATTTAAGGATCTGAAATCACAGCAACTAACATGCCACCCACTGTTTCTCAGTGAATATGGGATCCTCCTGACCCTTATCGTAGTCCTCCTCCCATGGTGGCTAATCCTTACTCTCTCTCTCTCTCTCTCTCTCTCTCTCTCTGTGTGTGTGTGTGTGACCTCACTTTTTGAGTGGGGGCTCTCAGTAAGTTTCAGGGATGTGCCTGTCTCTTTCCTTTCCAACACTGGGATTACAGACAAATGCCAACATACCAGGTTTTTACTTGGGTCCTGGAAACCCAAACTAAGTTTATAATGTAAATCTTTAGTTAACAGGCACTCTGAAATATAACTACAACTATACAAAGAATGGATCTTTATGCCACAACAAGCCAAAGTATAAATTAATTTCCAAGTAAATTATTCAAACTGGCAGTTGTTATAATTACTACTAATTTATGTAAATTACTTCGTAGAAATGACACTCATGCTTTCCTTTGGTTCTTATTAACAACTGAACAAGGTAAAAAAAACGGAGACAACTATAGTCCTTTATAGATAAGGAAAAGGAAGTCATGTCCTAAAGTCACCCAGGATCCAAATACTTCTCTCCATCAAATATTCTGTCTTCTGTAATCTATTACAACTTATACTGAATGGTAGCTTTATCAAGTATAAAACCCGTGCTAGGATTCTGAGCCTCACTCATGTTCAGCTTCTCCATCTGCTTTAATCTAAACAACTTCAAGTTGGTTGCTTTTCAAAGTTTGCTACAGGCTAGGCTTGGTGTCTCATTACATTTAATCCCAGTATTTGGAAGATGGAGGATCAGGAGTTTGAGGCCATCCTAGACCAAAAGAGACCCTGTCTAAAATAAAACAAAAAAAGCCAAGGTCATGGGTCGGTTAGTACAAACACTGGCCTAGCAAGCACAAAACAAAAGTCTCCATCCAGTCCTAGCACTGCTAGGAAACCAAGTGTGGCAGGCACATGCCTGTGTGTCTGGGTCTTTGTATCAGCATAGTGCTAGCTGAAACTCAAAGTTCTGGACTTTTAAAGTGAATAGAAGCTGGGCATGGCACACACCTTTAAACCTAGCACTCCAGAGGCAGAGCTCTGCGAGTTTGAGACCAGCCTGGTGAATTCCAGGACAGTCAGGGCTGCATAGAAAGACCCTGTCTCAAAAAAACAAACAATTATTCCCAAAATATGCTAGAGAATAGGAAGTAAAGTTCTGTTCTTTGCACACTCTAGAAACAGCTATAAAAACGCTCTCCAAAAAAGTTCTGCAGCAATTTTTAGTCGGGGCAGAGAGCAGGGCACCTCGGGCCCCCCGCCGCCGGTGAGGACCAGGACTAGCCGTAGCCCCAGCCCGACTCCCACATTACCAACGCCCGCGCCGGCCGTGTCTCTGTCTTCTGTTCCTCCTCCAAGGCCACCGCCAACGCCGACGACACCAAGGTCTCCAAGACGTCTTCGCGTTCGTTCTGGGCGACCCTTGGTTCGGTGGTGGGATTCACCGGCAGGTGGAGACTGCCGGACACCAGCCTGGCCGCCCGGTGCAGCGAAGCCATCTCCCGCCTCGAGCCCGAGCGCCCGCGCCGGCCCGGGGCGGGTGAGCTGGCGCCGCCCTCGACTTCGCAGATCCTGGTTTGGGGCGGGCGGTTACTAGGGGCTCGGTTACTAGGTACGCTACAGGAGGTGCGAGGGTCCAAAAGACACGCAATGTCCTTTCTCATTGTCACAAACCCGAGCCCTCCATCCACCTAAAGTCTAATGATGGTTTCTGATAGAAGCCTGCGGTGAACGGGGCATTCTAGAAGCATAACTATCTGAAGCTACACAAATGACCACCACAGCAAGCCAAAATAAAACGTAATTTCCAAGAGAGTTGCTCAGTGATCGTCTCATCGGCGCCGAGATAATAACAGATTCACGAGAATGAGACCCAGCTCTCCGGCTAGGGACTGAGCCTTGCTTTATTTCGGTCTAATCACCTAAACTTTAAACAGAAAGAGCGCATTTTTACTAACTGGATCAACATATTGGGGCACAACGGAAGAGGAAAGCACCGGCTGTTGTGTGACCGCCCTAGAAAAGGACAGGCTTTGCAGCACGCCATCCAACATGGCAGAGAACGAGGTTTATCTCTAATTGACAAGAACCAGCACGAGTTGACCAATCAGAAGGAGAATACTTAGTTATCCCTCCCTCTTTTGCATCGGCTGACCAGTAAGAGGCCAGACATGGAAAGCGCCAGTAGCTACAACCAGTGAGTGACGTAGGTAGTTTGCCTTGGGTTCTGCAGCTAGCTAGTTGCAGGACTGGAAGCGAGGGGTGGGGGTGGGGGGGGTGAAGGGGGGGCACAGGGACCACACCCTCCCAATTCACCCCCGCCAACCTTCCGATCACCTTTAGGCCCCTTCGGGTGGTCTCTCAGTGGGTACGGTGAAGTCTCAGCCCAGCTAACGTGACTGTACAGACATAAGGTTCCAGTAGTTTCCGTATTAGGCGGCACACCTTCTACGGAACCTGTCCCTGACGCACCTGCTACCAGGCCTTTCTTGTTCGCCCTTTTATGCATGAGCACCTGTGAAGTCTCTGTCACCATACTCCACCTGTTTTGGTTGATCATGCTTCTCCAAACGGAACTGATAAGCCAGTTGGTTCTGAAAAGCCAGGGGGTGGGGTGGGATCCATAGTCGTCCAACTGACAGGACAGTGACCTCCTGTCAGTCACATGCAAGTTGTTCTGTGATGGGATTTGGTGTAAATCAATTCTAGACCAAGACAGATCTACAGACTGTAAGTGGTTGGCTTGAGGAAAATAAACTAGTGAGTAATGGGTAGGCAGGACATTAGTGTGTACACAGAACAGAAAGGTTCAGTTCACTGACAGCATTCTTAATTTGCAGTCATCAGTAACACAAGAATATGGAGCAGAAATGGGCAGATCTGCAAGAAAATAGCATCATCGTAGAACTGCTTTTACACTTTTGTATTAAAATGTAACTATACAGAACAGTGAAATGAATAGTTGTGAATGTATAGCTACATGAATTCTGACAAGTGAATAACCATGATTTCACCACCTTATTAAGACACAACTTTGGCCAGGCATGGTGGTACAAGTCTTTAATCCCAGCACTTGGGAGGCAGGCAGATCTCTGTGGGTTTCAGGGCACCCTGATCTACATAGTGTATTTCAGGTTAGCCATGGCTTCATAGTGAGACCTTGTCTCAAACAACAACAACAACAAAAATTCCCTTGTGCCCACACCCAATTGTTCTTTTTTTATCTGGATTTTCTTTTCTTTCCTTCCATCGTTCTTTTCCTTCATCCCTTTCTTCTTTCTTGTTGTGCTGTGCATCAAACTAAGGTCTCCAAGCACACACAAAACAGGCACACAACATGCAAGTGCTCTGTCACTGAGTCACATCTGCAGCCATACTCAGTTTCTTTTTTGTTCAGCATAACTTTTTCTGTAAAGATTCATGCATGCACCGGACAGTGGTGGCGCACTTTAATCCCAGCATTTGGGAGGCAGAGGCAGGAGGATCTCTGAGAGTTTGAGACTGGTGTACAAGAGCTACAGAGAAATCCTGTCTCAGAACCCCCCCCCCCAAAAAAAAAGGATTCATGCTTGTGTTGTGTCCTTTTAAATTCCTAGGTAGTATTTTCTGCTGAAACAGTTTTCTAATACTGGAAGAATATCCCTGAAATTTATGCTATCCACTACCATACAAAGGTTTTTCATTCATTCATTCATTCATTCATTCATTTTTTTGAGACAAGGTTTCTCTGTGTAGCCCTGGCTGTCCTGGATCTCCCTCTGTAGTCCAGGCTGGTCTCGAACTCACAGAATACCACCTGCCTCTGCCTCCCCAGACTAGGATTAAAGGTGTGTGCCACCACCACTCAGCCAATGGTTTTACATTTAATCTGCAGCAATTAACATTTTGTCACTTAAAAATTTGTATTTGTGTGTGTGTGTGATGTGTGTGTGTGTACCATGGTGGGAATGTGAAGGTCACAGAACAGCTTTCAGGGGGCTGGTTTTCCTTCACCTTGCCAAGGCAAGATCTCTGTTATTTCTGCTTGCTGTGCTGTGCACTCCAGGCTAGTCTTTCTTTCTTTCTTTCTTCATTTTTTTTTTTTTTTTTTTTTTAGACAGGGTTTCTCTGTGGCTTTGGAGACTTTCCTGGAACTAGCTCTTGTAGACCAAGCTGGTCTCGAACTCACAGAGATCCACCTGCCTCTGCCTCTAGTTTCTTGATTGTTCTCCTGTTTCTGCCTCCCCTCTCTTTACAGGCCTGCTAGTGTTACAGGCCATGACCACATCCAGCTTTTTACATGGGTTCTGAGGTTGAACTCAAGTGGTCAGGCTCGTGTAGCTATTGTGTTTACTTGCCAAGCTGTCTCCCTGGCCCATTTTCTTAAATTTATCAGTTTATTAATTTTTATTGGAAAATTGAGCCCTGCCACCCCTTTTTTTCTATCAAACTGTCTTCCAGAAAGCAGCCATCAGAAAAAGTCAGAATTGTGAGATTTACTGTAGGAAAAGCTTCAGGGAAAGACACAATTGGATGCCTTAGGAGGAAAGAGAGAGAGTATTTGGATGGTTCAAAGCACAATGCAGCTCAGAGACCATCTCAGCCAGCTCAGAGAGTTCCAGCACTAAGACTACTATCTCCACATCTGAGCTTGAGTTTCCAAGGATGTGCCTGTTCTCAGTTGGGATACTGTGGAGGATCCTATGTTATGGCTGTTAGCCAGTGACGTGCTCATAAATATTAACAACCTGCTATATGTGTTTGTTGTCAGTTTAAGTTTTCTGACAAAAGGCTTGTGGTACACATCTTATCAAAAACGCATAATCTTTACTATACAGTCCTCACTCACAGACAGTCATGCTTTGTGAGAATTTTCATTGAGTTTTGCTGATTTTACATTTCTAGCCAATTTCTGGTTGCAGTTAAAAATGAACACACGGGCTGGAGAGATGGCTCACAGGTTAAGAGCACTGGCTGCTCTTTCAGAGGTCCTGAGTTCAATTCCCAGCTTATAAACATCTATAATGAGATCTGGTGTCCTATTATGACAGAATATTGTATGCAAAATAAATCCTTAAAAAAGAAAAAGAATGGGCCAAGCGTTGGTGGCGCACGCTTTTAATCCCAACACTCGGGAGGCAGGCAGATCTCTGTGAGTTCGAAACCAGCCAGGTCTACAAGAGCTAGTTCCAGGACAGCCTCCAAAGCCACAGAGAAACCCTGTCACGAAAAACAAAACCAAACAAAACCCCGAAAAACAACTCAATCCCAGGTGGATAACAAAGCTTAAGACATGACATCTCCCATGAAGATAGATTCTACAGATCCTCTAGGGAAGGATGGGTGTGGTCTTGGCCACCCAGATAGTGCAAAAGTCAAGAAGCTACTGAGCATGTCTGTTCCCAGACTTTTGAGGGGAAAACACATTATACATCTTTGCCTTGGAAGGAACAGCCCTGTGTGTTTAACATTCCTGGTTTCCCTAGTTCTTATTTGTGAGTGCCATGACTTCTGTACTTCCAACTTGGTTAACTCTGCCACTTTCTAATAAGCCCTCTTCATAATCTAAGTTGCAGCTCTTCCACAGCTTTAGGGTTTTCCAAGCTCAAGTGCCTATTTTATATAGTATCTCCTAGCCATTTTAACATGTGCAAACATTTCAGTTTTGCTAGGTTTCTTGTGTATTGCTTATCCAGTTTGTTGGGTCCTTAACCACATTACCTCTCTGCTCCTTTTGGTGATGGGTTCCTTGTACAAGCTTAACACGTGCTCTCCTACTGAGCAACACCACCTGAGATTCTACTGCACAATTTTGCATGCTGTGGTCACTTTCAAACATGTTTCAGAATTGCCTGAGTGGCAAAATGCTAAATCAACATGGAAGGTAATCTTCACACCATTCCTTAAACTTTCCTCAGCCCTAAAAGCTTTATAATAAAGTGAAAGGTAAGGGAAAGCATTTAAATGTAAGCACAAAATCTTTGCTGCTTTAGCTGTTCTAGCCCTGTACATTAGTAATTAAGAGCATCCTTTAAAATCTGACAGGGTAACTTTGGATGAGCCTTCTGATTTGTTCTAATCCCTACAGCAGTTGGATTAGACTGCCAGTGCTAGCTGCTGTGCTATAAACCCCATGCAAGCCTTTCTTAGAAGAGTCCTTTTGAAAAACCGTCAAATCAAGTTACATATTTAGATAAACATGTAAGTAATGGATAACACCCTACTATCTATAATGTGTTAGAAAAGTGTTTTCACTTAAGTTTCTAAAGATGCTATCTGATCTGTTTAACAATCACTTAAAACGAGAGAAAAACTAAATTCTGGATGATCCAAAGATCCTTATCTCAGACTGTAGACTTTATTTTCCTTAACTGACTTCTTGGATTCTGTGACTGTAGAGGGAAAAATGTGGCTTACCTTAAAATCAGGCCTTTACTCAATGGTGTGAAAGTATTCCAGAGTAGTAGCTATT